AAAAAAAAAAAAAAAAAAAAAGGCATAAACTCACAAGATCAGGAAGAAGAGAAAAGGAGACAGAAGTGGGAAAGACTGATAATCAACTAAATTTATTCCACAAATCTCCAAAATACTCAGAAATTGAGGGTATCAGGTACCTCAGAAGTGAGCTGAGGTAGCTATAATAAAAAACACTGGTGGAAAGTCTATTAAAGAAGCATTCAGATCCCCACCTCATAGACACTTGGCTTTCCCACTTGGTAGAAGACTAGGTTCATTCTCTGGAGCAAGTGAACAGGAGGTTAATAGATTGAAGGACGATAAGTTGAAAACTGAAAAAACAGCAAAGTTGGTAAAATAGCAGGATTAGGTGAAATGTGCATACTGATCCACCTAGCTCTTGTTCCCCGCTGGGGGTCCCCACTGGTTACCAATGCTGGCAAATAAACCTTTACTCTGTAGGTAGGCAATCAGAAGAGTCTTCTCTAGGGAATCTGACAAGCCCAAGAGGAAAGATCCCATCTCAGACACATCACCCCCAACTGGAGCTCAGCACCAACACCTCCACCAGAAGACCGAGAGCTCTCAGTGTCTCTAAACTATGACCACACCATCAAGGAACACCATGTTTGAGGGCAGCCTCAAAGCTGAAAGAGACACACTAAAACAAATGGAAAAGAGCAACTTGGTGAAAACAGATTATAAAGGGAGAATAATTCTAAAAATACCATTAATTTCCTCATAAAGATATTGCAATTATGAAAAAAGAATAGGATACAATTATAAAGGTAAATTCAGAGAAAACTACCTTAGAAATTAAAACTATGATAGAAGAAATTGAGTATATTTTAGGAAGTATAGAAAAAAGACCAAAAAGATATAAAACAAGAAAAGTCAAGAAAAGTAGAAAACCACCATTCTAGGAGGTCTAATAACTAAAAGTTATTCTATTACAGGAAAAAAGCAAGCAAGATTTCCCAGAAAGCTGAGAGTACTAGAACCTCCAGATCAGGATTTTTCATCCTTGGCATTAGTAACCTTTTGGTCCCAATAATTCTTCATTGGAGGGAGCTGTATTATACTGTGTTCGATATTTGGCAGGACTGGTTTAGCAAGCTCCCTGGTCTATATTCATTAGATGCTGACAGCATGCCCACTGTTATGACAACCAAAGATGTCTCAGGACAACATTGCCTCTAGCTGAGAACTATAGCTATAAATCAGAGTCCACAAGGTGCTTAGCACAATGGATAAAAATATAAACATGTCAAGGCATGTCACTGTGAAAATTTAGGACACTGAGGACAAGGAAAAGAATGTACTAGGTTCTAGAAAGAGAAAAGCAGATCATATGTAAGGGATCAGTACTGAGAATGGCACTGAACTTTTAAGCAATACTAGTGGGGTAATAACTTCTGAAATTCTAAAGGAAAATGATTTTCAACCTGGAAATAGAATACCCAACCAAATCAAGTGTAAGAGCAAAATAAAAGATTATTTTCACACAATGCAAGGTCTCAAGTTTATCTCTAATGCATTGTTTCTCAGGAAGCTACAGGAGGAGGTGTTCTGCCCAAAGAAAGGAAGATGTGGGATAAGATGTGGAAAAAAATTCCAACCTAGAAGTGAAATTGATAGACAATGCTTGATAAGACAAGAAGCAGTTAATACAAACCTGTTGCTAGAAACTTTAGGTAAATACAGAAGTTCACCCATAAAAGGTGAATTTGGTTGTCTCTTCAGAGACAGAAATGGCAGGGCAGAAATGGCTGCTGCTTGTAGAACTATATGACTCTTAAGCATATATATGTAACTTTAATAAAGCCAAAAGAGGAAAACAAAAAGGAAAAATAAAAGAGGGGAATGTTTCCAGTGAGCTCATTCACTAGACACTTCCTATTCTCTCTTCCCTAAAATGATTAATAGTAAATTCCAACATTGCAACCCAGAGAGGAAGGGAGCCTGTAAGGCCCCTTTTTACTCATATTCCAAAACTACCTTTAATCACTCGTAGTATATCATTTAATAAACTTTTATTTTAAACATCAAGAAAAAACTGAACTATGGCAGATTACAATCCACATTTTCATTGGTGTTCATATTTTTAGGAAGGTCACATGAGAGAGGGATTTTTCAAAATTAATGCAAATTCTAAATGGCAGTATTGAAATAGATTGTAGGTATGTGCTGCTTTATTAATCTTTCTCATTTTGGTTTAAAAATATGGAATGGGGGCACATAGTAGGCACAGAAGAGTCATATAGAAACTATTCAAGAATTATGGTAGACCACTTTTCAGTACGCTTAGTAAGCATTCAACACATAGCATAAAACCTTGTTTGAGGGTTACAACTTCAGAAAAGTAATATATTCAGTTAAATAACTTCAATACAGTAGTTTATATATAAATGCTGGGTTGCTTCACAAGGCTTGATTAAAATCAGTGAATGGAAGAAGTTGGTGGGATAATATTTGCATTATTTTCACTTTAAATAATATGAAAAACTACAAAAAGGTACAGAAAGGGCACTGAAGAATATGACTGAAGGGAGCATGTGAATATAAAATGTTGAGTTTACCATAGATATGAGTTATTTGGTACAATTTAAAATTCTACAAATTGTCTAATACACATTAGCTAGGCAGAGACCTATCTTGTTCCTTTAACATTTTAGGTAGAGTCATGTTAACTAGGCAGAAGGCTAGTGTTTGGTATGAATGGGCTCACTCATTTAAGCAAGACAAAGAAGCACCATATTACCAAAACTCTTTATAAACTCTTCCCTAATAAGATACTTGATTTCTAGTTGATAATGGAAAACAATTTTTAAAAGTTTTAACCTAATTCATTTTACATTTGTTTAAATGTTAGACATAATAGTCTATATTAACAATGGATTAATTTTACTTTGTTTTCTCTGAAGCACTGTTCTGCATGATTGTATTTCTAAGCAACCCGCAGAGTTCGAATTTCTATGATTTATGGTAGAGCAACTGAAAGTTATGCAACTTACTCAAACACAAGTGTTGAATATCAATTTGAAGTCTCTCAAACACCGAATCTTTCTTTCTGTGTTTGCCATCTACCTGTACAAATGGAACATTATTATAAAAATGGTTTTTTATATTTAAAAAAGCTTTATGAAAATAAAAACATTTATTTGTTTTCAAAATTCAGAGCAAATAATTTCCCATCTTATTTTTAATATTTAAGCAATAGAACCACTCATTAAAAAATTAAAGATTATAATATTCTTTGACAAAAATTCCAAAAGAACACTATGACACATTTTCATGAAGCTTGAAAATTTCATAAATTATTATGTAAACATTATTTTCTTTAACTTTAAAAATTTTCAATTCACTGATGAAGGAACTAAGGTTCACAGATGTTATCTTAACTGAGATTATTTGCCAGCATCTTTATATTTGTCAGCCCCTAATCTACTATTTTTGGCTTACTCCTCTTACTCTCCCTGAAAGATCACAGCTATTCTAATCTATATTCACATGTCTATGACTTACAAATCTACATTGTGGCCCAGACCTATTTGATATTCAATTGTGAACTGTAAAGTTCTACTTCAACAGCTAACTCATTCAAAACTGAGCTCATTACTTCCCCCTCCAAACCTTCCTCTTCTACCTTCCATATTCCCAACTCGGGGAAAGACACCTCTTCACTTAATAATAAACCACCAAGTCTCATGGCTTCTACCATCTTCACATTTCTCTTACTCTTTCCGTCTTCTCCATCCCACCGCAACAGCTTTAGCTCTTGCCCATTTCTTACTTGGATTACTGGGTAATAATGATCTTATTATTAATCTCCCTATTTCGAGTTTCAAATTTGGCATAGCTGTAATGATACTCCTAGGATGAACTTTTAAAGACCCCTTTTTATTTACTTTACCAACCCCTGTATGTTATTTCAAGATCTCCTCTCAGCTGTCACTTCCTCCAGGAAACTTGTGACCTACACTAGATTGAGGCTGGTGTTCTATTTTCATGCTCCAATAGCATCTGGTACTTACCATTATTGTAAGAGACTTGGCAGACTAAACCAAAATATTTGTAAGTCTGCCCCACCCACTAGATGTAAGCTTGTTGAAGACAAAAATTAAATCTTGTTTCCACTGTATCCCTAATATATAGCCAGATAGAGTCAAATTCCCTCCTTTACATATATCTGAGACCGTCCATAGCCTAGTCCTCCTCTCCTGACTTATAAATGCTGACCTCTACCTCACACCACATATTACTATCACACAGAAATGTTCCTGTGTTTCTCTGTTTCAGGCATTTGGTCACACTGTTCTTGCTTCCTAGAGTGCTTCTCAAATCCCCTATTTGGTAAACACTAATTCACTTTTCAAGATACAGCTCAAGCACCATCTTTTCTGTGTATTCATTTGCCATCCCTTCCCTGCAATACAACTTGTCGTTCTCTCCTTTGAACTCCCACTGTACTTTGTGCAGACTTTTTTGTATTTTAACACTTCTCTATTATCATTTATCTGCCTGTCTCTCCTTTCTAAATAAAAGTAATAAAGCGTAGTAAAACAGAGCATCATAGAATGCTGTCTTATTTAACTTTATCTACCCATTGTCTATCATGGTGCCTGGTTGTATGCTCAATAAATGCTTACTGAATAAATAGTAATTGGCAGAGGTGGGTTTAGGACCCAAGGCTCTTAAGTCCTAGCTTGAGCTTGGCTCTTTCCACATATTTTCTTGTCTCTGCCAATACTTTTAAAAACTCAGATCAGTGGACTATCAGAATTTAGATTAAAAAATTTACCCTCAGGTTAAGTTATCAATATAATTAAAGCTCTAATTAAACACACAAAAACTCATTTTCTTTAAGAGACATGTTTCTGAGTATCTTTTTTTTTTCCTTTTGAACAGGAAAAGTGCAAAGAAAGTTTGGTTACTAATATACTGCAATGGTTTCACTTACCTTGAATCTTGTGGTCACCTTTTCTACTAGGATGAAGTGAACTTTTTCAGCATCTTTTAAGGCAATATCAACCCAATGAGATAATTTTCCCTTGCCTGCTCCAAACTCAACAAAGCATCTTCTTGGACCAAGTAACTTTAATTTTTCAATGTTACCTAAAATAGAAGCCTGCAAACTTCACGAGATTATTTTATAAACTAGAGCAAACACATTTAGCTCAAATGGGAAAATAGCAAGGTAATTTCTACTACATAAGGCAGCATGTTCACATTAATAATTTTTGTTTGGCTTTAAATTTTTTGTTTTTAAATATTTATCACAAAGTACCAGAACCATATCCATGCCAAAAATTTTTTATATATGTTTATACACATTTTTGAAATGGAAAGATTCTGCACTCTCAAAGATAAACTGCACAAAATCTCATTATTAACTATACATAGAAAGAATAGAATGTTAGCTTTTGACAAATGAACATAGGGCCATTTTTAGTAGAGTTACTATGGCCTAAACATACCTGCTGTTTCAGGTGTTTGGTTGCTGAATCACCATTTTTAGGATCACTAAGGGCATCATGCAATGCTGGATGGGACATAATTTGATCTTTAAGTGTAGAGTTCAAACCTGTGCCAAATATAAGCACAATAGCTTAAGCAACCAAACATGAAACTGTAGGGCTTTGAATAACAGTAGCAACATCTTTTAAACTACATATATCAACTCATACACCACCTAATTACTCTAAAAAAAAATTTACCTTGTAACTTTAGGCAGACTCACCTTCACTTGCTTTTCTCAATTTCTTAATTAAGCTTTCCAGTTGCTCTTCAGAGAGAGAAGAAATTGGAACCTATGAACAAAAATCAGGTGTGAGCTGGTCTGGGAACTAACCATCATAAAATGATTCTATAGGAAAATACACTGTAAATTCAAAACTTATTTCAAACAAAAAATTGGAACACAGCTTATTCACAGTATGGAATTGGCTCATAAATACCTTTTAAAATTAAATATTAAGTCAAGTACTTACTAGTGGTTCAGGTATTTCTGTTTCATCTTTTAAGCCTGCATTAATATCTTGAATAAAGAAATCCTTAACAAAAACAAAACAAAATCATAACAATATTGTTATTAACATGAAGCGCTCACAAAAATTAAGCTGAAAATCTTATGCTTCCCTTCTTCCCATACTCTGTACCTGCCACACTCCCGTCCTCTTATTCATTTATTCATTAAATAAGTATTGAGCACCTGTTGTGGCCCTTTATTTGTTTCATGTGCTGAGGATTCACTAAACCAGTGAATATTACAGACAAAAATCTCTGTGTTCATGGATCTTATATTCCAGTTAGCTGGCTATCTGAATCAACATTTATAGTCTAAAGTAATTTTTATTTAAGTTTTTACCAGTCTAGGCACAGACTGAGGACTGTGTCAGTTTTGCTTGTGTTAAAGCAGCAACACCAGAGTACCAACGATACATGGCTGTCAATCAGACAGGCAGCACAGCCAAAAACAAAGATACAGATATTACAACAGCATAGGTCTAATTTCTTCTATCTAAATAAAAAATAGAAATGTCCTATGACAATACGTTGTTTAAATTAACACAGTGAGATCTTTCTAGCCCATCTTCAGAGAGAGAGATTCTAGAACAGGTTCTAGATTGGCGTTGTCCAATACAACTTCCTGTAATAATGGAAATGTTCTGTATTTGCTCTGACCAACTTGGTAGCCAGTAGCCTTGAAATATGTCTAGTGTGGCTGAGGAAATGGATTTTCAATTTTCTTTAATTTTAATGAACTCAAATGTAATTACACATGGCTAGTGGCTACCATAATGGACCACGTAGATAGATGAATTAAACAGTACTGTTTCTACAAATCTTGTTTGAAGAGTCCAAACAACTCATGGGAGCTCCTGTTAAACAGATAGCAGAAAGGTAACATGTTAATTGTGTTGCTATCTTTTCCTATATGGATAACAGTGGAAACCAGTGATTAAGTGGAACAGGTGAAGACAGCAAGTATTACAATGTTTTGTTGGATGACTGGCAAAACTATAATAGAAAATTAGCTATAAATGTTATAATTTGATGTGCTCTTAGTTTACAATGGCTGCAAAGAGTGCTCCAGGTAACTTGTGTTGTGGACTAGGCTTTTAAATGTGAAAACTATATTAGAAAACACCACCAATGTATGTTCATTTGGTAAACAAAATATTAAAAAACTGTAAATGGTTTTACAGAGTAAAGCAGAATAGGGATAAGAAATTTTACCTACATTGCAAGTTTCATATTATACATAGGTGTTGTGTCAATACTGCTCTGCATTTCTTTTCTCTGTCTCATCCCACTGCTTTTCTCTTTCCTTTCCACAGGTGTATTCCAATTTTAATAATTGATCTCTTCTCTCCAACTTTTCCCAGAAAACATATTCCACTTGCTTTAACTGAGACCTGGCACTTAGGTAAGGAAGATAACCTCTGTGCACACTTGAAAGTAAAGGCAATATTCTTTGTACTCAGGGGCTAACTGGGGGTGGTCATCATTTTTCTTTACATATCTTTATGTAAGATTACTTTCAAGCTTATGCCATTTGGCCTAGTGGTTCTCAATTGACAGGCATTTGGAAACATATGGTGATGTTCTGTTGTCAAAATGACAGAGGTGTTACTGGGAGACAAACTCCATGGTTCTCACAATTTTCTGCAAGTGCTGCCTGCTTATTGTACAGTATAATAAAGCTTATTTAAGGAACAAAAGGCAGGTTTCCTTACTGCCCATTTAAAGGTTCTTCTCTGGACTAGTAGTTTTGAAGCTATAATTTTTTTTACACATTTGTTTTTTGCAAACAAATTGATGTCTTCAATCACCTTGTCTCTTCAATAAGAAAAATGCAGCTATCAAATGACAACTTTTTCAACTAATCCTCCAGTCAGCTGAAGTTTGTCTTAATTGTCATCCACCTTACATTCCTTCCCACCTGTGACATATGTAATTCTTGCATTTGTCCCCACATACCTTTCAGAATAACTTCCAGGTTCCTTGAAAACCTATGTGGTTTCTCAGCGTCTACCTTTGTACATATAGTTCTTTTCACCTAGAAGGACTCTTCCATTTCTTTGCCAAATTAAGACTCAGCTCAAGTATTATTCCCTCTGGGAAACCTTTCTTGACCCCTTGGATTTAATTTTAATGCAAGTATGTACTTTTATCACATGTGTACTTCTTACATTGAATTTATAAAATAATACCCATTATTTACCAGTTTACTTAACAGTGAGATCCTCTTTTATTGAAATAAATTTAGTAGGCACTAAGCAAATTTTTTTGAATAAATAAATTGTGAAATTATTCTGTGAGCAACACTGATGCTGCATAAAAATTCTACTCTCTGAGTTAGGACCACAAATGGATTTTACAGTCTAGTCTGATGTCCTACATACACTCAAATACATTTACCCTATTCAAGCCTTCTGAGGCAAGAACGTTAAATATTCACATTTGAAATCTACTAAGTATTTATAAATATTACATATCTCATGGTTCACCATTCCATTTTACTGATCAAACACTTACAGGTTTTGGCTTCTCTCTGGAGTTACATTTTTTCAAATGCTTTGCTAGTTGATCTTCATACACTGTGCTGAATTTAAAGAGAAAATTACTAAAATAAGACTTGCGACAATTACTGTTTCCAGCATAGAAAAATCCTCATCTGACCCATTCTTACTGTTTTGTATCCAAAGGACACAGGATTCTTTTCCGATCATTTTCCTCCTAATAAAGAAAAAGGATGTATCAATTTCAATAAAATACCAAGTTCACTACTTACTAGATATAACTTTGTATAAATGTAAGCTTATTGGCATGTGCATACAGTGAGACAACGAATTTGACCGGATCTGTACTGTTGGAACTCAACCAGGAGTTGGGAGGGGTGCAAGTTGTAGCGCTCCAAAATCTCATGACTATAGACTATCTATGGTTAAAAGAACATATGGGATGTGAACAGATCCCAGAAATGGGCTGCTTTAATTTGTCTGATGGTTCAAGTACAGTTGGACAATATCCATCATATCATAGATAAATTTTCACAAATGCCTAGGGTGCCTAAATGGTTTTCTTGGCTTCACTGGAGATGGCTGGTAATTATAGATTTGCTTTGTTTATGTCACCGTATTCCTATTATGTTAATATGTGTGTGCAAATTAGTTAGTAGTTTAAAACCTATACATACTTAAGGTACTATACAAGAAGATATGTCAAAGAAATAATCAATCCTCCCAAGTTTCCTTCATATGCTACATCTATAGCTTTTCTTCTTCCTTCCTAATTACAACCCTTAAATAGAATTCGTGCCTCATATCGAATTTACCGAGTATCATAATTCCTCCAGGTGGTAAAGATACCTCGAGACAAGTGCTGGGCATAGAAGCCACAGGGCATAAATCTGCAAAGAAGTAAAAAGCTAACCTTTTCAAACAATATGGCTTCTCTCTCACTTACCAACTTTACATTTCCCTGTATGGCCCCGGAAGATGACTGGTTAGCCAGAGACGGGTAAGATTCCTCAAGGGAGGAACAACCTAAGACAGGCACAGTCGCAGGGGGGCCATCAGGTGAGAATTTGGGGATCAACAGAGGTGAGGCTCAGAACCTCACCCCCCCTGCTTTGAGAGAAATCTTCTGCATCCGTGGATGTCTTGCTGCCCTTGTCTAGCCTGGATTAATACTTAGTCCATAGGCACACACCTGATCATCTACATTTGCCCTCTTACAGCACTAAACTATGTTTTCTACCTTTATCTTGCATCTACCTACCACTTCAGCATTTTATTAAAAATAAAAATAATAATAATAATAAAGGGAGAAATGTGGGATCCACATATAAATCAAGTATAAAAATCAAATGAATATTCATATTTGACCTGATTGTTTATAGTTCATAATGCGTGATCAAAACCGAAAGTTTCTGTGATGAATGCCCTTGTACTGTTCACCATGTAAGAACTTATTCACTATGTAAGAATTCATTCACCATGTAAGAACTTGTTTGTTATGCTTCAGAAGATTGGAGACTGATGAGAATTAGGCTTGAGATTGATTAATGATTGTGCATTGAGCATTGACCCCCCTATACAGAATTTTATTGTTGTTAACAACCATTTGATCAATAAATATGAGATGCCCTCTCAAAAAAATAAATAAATAAATGTAAGCTTATACATTCCCCAAACAAGGTAAGGAAACCTTAAAAGGACATTAATAAAACATAGGCAAAATCAGGTCATAGAGTGTAACAAACATCTCCAATGTGGCTGATTTGTGTATATATGAGAAAATGCTGCTTTGAACAACAAAGGTCTATAGCTTCAAACTAGTTATAGAGAAGGAGTACAGAATTTCATATGCCATTTTGAACCTATGGTAGCATTGGCTATAATACTATTATTTTAGGTATCATGAAGAAAGGAAAAATGCTGCCAATTAAAATTATGACATGTCATTGGTTTTAAGATGCATTTTGATTTCAGATATTAAAATATGAGAAAAAAAGTATCTTAGAAACAACAAAATACGGCACTTCAACCATGTGGAACATGGCCATATTCTATTGGCTTTGCAGCTTTTTAGTATAGTAGAGTTATATCCTCTTTGTTTCAAAGTTACATGGGTTTAACTACATGCACAAGAAAAACATAAAGGAAAATTAAGTATTGGCAATTCTACCCAACATTTATACAAACCTGTATGTAACAGGATAGTATAATAGTTAAAATGTCAGGTCAGCCAGAGTATCTAGGAATGATTCTCAGCTCTAGCTATCAGCTTCTAACTCTATGACCTGAGGTAGGCTTATTGCCTCATCTGAAAGATGAGAATAATATGCCTTACCTCCTAAGGTTTGCAAAAGTTAAGTTAGCTAATAGTTAAAAAAAAACCCACTTAGCGCGGTGCTGGCCATATAGTAAATGCTAAGGGTACACTGTTATTAATAATTGTTTTTACAGTTTATTTTAGTTCTGATGTGTTTCCAGCACATCTACAAAACTACACACACTAAATTTCATGGAAAAGCTAAGAGACACTCCAATACTTAAAAAAAAAATACTGCGTATTATTCTTATTTGTTGATTTAAAAAATCTAACCTCCATAAAAGAGCTCCGAAGTCTAACCGTTGAGTGGGGAAAAAAGCACTTTTAAAATTTATTTGGGTGTAGAAACAGGGTTTCTGAATCTTGGCATTATTGGTAATTCTTTTGTGTGTGTGTGTATGTGGGGGGGCGGGGGTTGTCTTGTGCACAGTAGCAGCTTCCCAGGCCTCCATCCACTAGATACCAAGAACACTCCTCAGCCATGACAACTGAAATGTCTTCAAATATTCTAAGTGTCTTCTGGTGGGTAAAATCATACCCAGTTAAGAAACACTAGGTAAAAATGAGTACAAGGGGTCTCAGCTACATATACCACTTAAGAAAAAATGATAGAAATGTAACGATTGTATCATAAATTACAGATTTAGTAGGATGTACACAATTGAAAACCAAATCATGGTCTTGGAAAGTGTTTCCGCTTGTTTTTCTTCAGAGAACTAGTAACAAACAGCATGTCATTCTTCTCTAGAAATACTGATCAGCATGTAAGGATCTATTCATATTCTACTATTGTCACCAGTTATAATCACCTTCCAGATTCCGGGTAAGGTGAAGCATAAGATCTTAGAGTGAGAATAAATACTTCTATCATAAATCTCATTCTTAGATCAAGGGATGTTTGCTGACCCCTCAAAATCTGCCAACACAAACCGTGAGTTTACTTCAGAGAGTTCTTACCTGTAAGTCACAGGTCTCCCACATTCCAAAACAGGAATATGCTTGTTTCAGTACCATCCCTCTAGGCAATTATCAGTCAAATCAAAATATGAAGTAGAGCTATGGCTATGATGTATAATAACAGATGAAGGGGCTCTGGGAGCTGATCTGCACTGGACATTGTCAGAAGGACAAGCCATCTGACTAACAAAAGAAAAATAAATAATACTGGACATTCAGAAGGCACGAAACCAGATGTTTGTGTATTTGGTTTAATCTTTCAAAAAAACCTATTAAACATGCTCTTTTTCTACAAACATACTGGTCCTCTTGTTCTAACTTTTCTATCATATACATTCTCAGGAAACATACTATACACACAGTTATATATGTAGTTGGACAGTACAATTAAACGTATAACTGTATTATCGAACAAAATTGTAGGCTTTTTGTTTTCGATTTTAAAAAGTTAATTCGTACATGTTTTAAAATATTTCCTTCCCTTTTTCGGCAAAGTAGTTATAAGTTGCTTTCAAAAGATTGTACATCCAAATAAAATTTAAAAAAACTTTCTCGAAACTGTTTTCACAAAAAGTGGTTATCGTTCACGAAACCATTAGAACACATTTGGGGGATCTCTGGCCATTATTCTTTTTAAATTACCACCTCCCATCAGGAAGGCGGAATAGTGGGCAGAGAATAAGACGTGGTAGTTTGGAGTAGAACTAAAATCTGTTATTACCATGAGTTACTTTCAAGATAAACGAAAACTGCTGACACTTAGTACAAGAAAACACTGCACTTAACTAGGGCTCATCACCAGGTAGGGTAGGACTGCGTTTATTACAGGAAAAACTGGAAAATCCAGGCAACAGGAGCAGAAATCTATCAGAGGGTAGGTGCCGGACCAGGAAACTTATTTCCGACTTGGGAGAGGGCAGGGAAATACCAGACCTCCGCGACTCCAGCGTGTTCACCACAGAACCTCTTCCCTGCTGCCGCCACCATCCTGCAGAACCGTTTCTTTTTTTCCACATAGTAACTGCATCGACCCTCAGTTGGGAAGCCAGTGGCGTGCGGCGTTGGCGCAGAAGCCGCCATAGTTCGAGACTCGCTTTGGGTGGCAAGCAAGCATCGGGTGAAGAAAGAAAAAGTTCTCGAGTTCCCTCGGGTTCTTTTCCCTTAACAAGTATGGCTGCCTCGGCTCCCGCCACGTAGGTTAATGTCCGGAATCACCGCCCCATTCTCCGAAAACCTGGAAGAGACTGATAGTGGCTGGCGAGGTCCAAACTTCCTCCGTCTTCGCGCTGTTTTTCTTTCCCCGCCTCCTCAGCGGAAGCCGAGCGCCAAACTCAAATTTTAGCAGGACCCGGACGCTTTTCTGGCTAGTTCTGCGGGCCGGGTCTGGGGGACCCTTCCGCACACCGGCAGAGGTAGCGGTCCAACATGAGCCAGGTTCTGTTTCAGCAGCTAGTCCCGTTGCAGGTGAAATGCAAAGACTGCGAAGAGAGGTGAGGCCCGAGTTACCCGGAGCCCGCGGGTGGCGGTTGAAGTCTGCCCAAGGGGGAAAGATGGCGGCTCGGGCCCGTGGGCCGCGGCCTGCGGCGGGGTGTCCCGCTGGCGGCCCCAGGGCGCTGAGAGACCCGGCCAGGACCTAACGGTTACTAGGTCTCTCACCACGTCGGCTGTTGCTGAGGGCACTGAAGGGAGCGCGTGAGGAAATAGGAGGATGGCCCGCATCGAGTTAGTTTCAAAATTTCTAGCTCTGAACGGAATCCTGGAGATTATAGCTTTACCTTCATTCACCTTTTGACAGATGAGAACTGTGGTCCAGAGAGGTTAAATAATTTACTGGAAGGTTAAATAATTGACGAGTTCACTGCAGGGGCGGAGCCACAATTCAGGTCGTGGCGCCCAGCCTTTTTTCCACACTACCTTTCAATTACATACGAAGTAAATTTTAGCTTCAACCGGAAGAAAATAATCAGTTTTATGGTGTATTGCCTCTCTTCCACATATTACTAAAAATAATAGATTTCTTTCATTCCTATTCATTCAACATTTGCCTACTTGAAAAACACCTTGCTGGGTAATTGAGATGCCGTGGTCAGGTAACAGTCCTCGTGTTGGTGGAGTTTACAGTCCAGTGAGGAAGGAAGTGAAGGTCAGTCTCACAGATAAAGGCAAAATTACAGTTTGTGTAAGAAGATGATGTTATTGGGGCTTAGAGAGATTTGACTAGAAGTCAGATTTGTTTTGTCTCAGTTCCACTACTGATTAGCTGTTTCTTCTCTGAACCGTAAGTGTCCTCATTTGTAAAACTGATTTAACATGACCAGCTCACATGGTTGGTATGAGGATCAAATGTAAAAATGTATGTGAAAACTAAATGGTGTAAAAATGTGACATATAAAAGCATGAGGACATTGATTTATTGAGTTGCCAGTAATGTGGAACTAGTATATAGTTCAGAACAAAATCCAAAATTAATTGGAAGCCAGGTAAGGAGATGATACCCAGACCAGCAGCTGCAAATGGAAATCTAGGTTCAGTTGGTCATTTTGTGCTGCCCAATGTGGGAGCCACATAGGGTTATTAGACATTTGAAATGGAGCCAATCGGAATTGATGTAAGAGTAAAATGCACATGGGATTTAGAAGATTTTCTATGAAAAAGAAGGAATGTGAAATATCTGAATTTTTATATTGATTATATATTAAATGACAGTGTTTCACATGTATTGATTTGAATCAGATATGAAAATGAATTTACCTGTTTTAATTTTTTTAGTGTGGCTTCTACAGAAGTTCAAGATTACATATGTGGCTCGTATTGTGGCCTCAGTTGTATCTCTTGTCGGACAGCACAGTTCTGGAATAATTACAGAAAGATAAAAGAAAGGGGGACATCATTTCTGATTCCATTACTGAAACTCCTAGCTCTTTTCCATCTCATTACATTGTTATCACAGTTATCTTCTTAAAACCCAATGTCAACCTTTTCACTTCTCCTGTTTAGAAACTTTTGTTGTATTCCTTTCATCTGTAGTAGCCATCAGCAAAGTAAACCTGAAGGGCCAAATGGCCCCAAAACTACCTGTTTTTGTAAAGAAAGTTTTATTGGAACAAAGCCATTCTCATTTGTTTAAAGAGTTGTCTGTCTGCTTTTACCCCATATGGGCAGACATGAATAATAGTGACAGAGACCTTATGGCTTGCAAAGCCTAAAATATTTACTATCTGGCCCTTTAGAGAGAAAGTTTGCTGACCCCTGTCATATAGGAAAAACCATCCAGACTTTAGTTAAGTAAGTATTCAAAGGCCAGTTCAACTGCACAAATGTTTATGAATGCCTACTATGTACCAGGAACTGTCCTAGGTGCTGACAATATAAAGTGCCCTCCTCTTTACTCTTCACTCTCCGCCAAAAAACAAAAACAGTTTTCATCTGGGCTTCAAGGAACTCATACATTAATAGTGGAAACAAAAAGATCTTGGAGAGGCAGCCCAGCACAGGTTAGGAGTTCAGGCTCTGGAGCCAGATTGGGTGTAAATCCCATTCTGCCACTTACTATTTGATTTTGTACATTTTTTTTTAAACTTCTCCATGCCTTATTTTTAAGTTGATAATAAAAGTAACCTGCTTCATAGATTTTTGTGAGCATGAAATGAATTAATACATATAAAGTGCTTAGAACAGTGCTTGGAGTATCAAATAATTAACTAGCTATTAAAGTGTGATTAATGCATGAAATGACATAAATGTGCTAAAGTCACAGAGAGGAAGGAACTTCATTTGAAAAGTGGAAATGCTCAGAGAAGTCTGGGGGAAAGTGATGCAAAATTTTGAAGCCTGTGGTTTGACGCCAACCTTTTTTTCATTTTTGTTTGCTAAGCTCCTCTCCCCAGTATACTAGTCACATAAGACTATTTGTCCTCTGAATATGCCTGATATTCTCTCAGTACTATACCTTTAGTGCTGCTCTTCCCTCTGTCTCAAATGCTTTTTCTTTCATAACCTTCAAAGTCTGTCTTAAATCCTTTCACTATAAGGACCTTATCAAAGTTGCCCATGTTGAAATTAATGCTCTTACTCCTTTATTAGCTAGCATGGTTTAGGTGAAAGATCTGAGTTGTAATATAGGCTCTGTAATGTAACCTTAACAAATTTGCAACTCTGTGCCTCAAGTTCTTCCTTTGTAATACAGAGATAATATTTACTTAAGATTATTGTTGTTAATGTAAGATGATATATGAAAAGTGCCTGGTAGGTACTAGGTAAGTGTTAGTAACACTTCCTTCCCTTCTCTTAAAGCCCTAAAATAGAATCAGAAGCAAATCTGGAGTAAGTCATTTAATCTGATCTCAATTTGAGGACATGGACCATGTTTATTTCTGTTTGTATCCCTAGCACCCAGCACAGTACCTGGTGTAGAGTAGCTTTTATTTGAACTGAGAGTTTAAAGTCACAGCTACTAGGTGGCAGAGGCGGGCTAGAATCCAGTTCTGCTAATGCCAAATTTAACTGACTAGGAGGATGTTATGTGTTCAGACATTATTCAGAGTGTAACATTTATTTTGAGAAACCACATTTTAATTGTTTTTTAAAATTTGTTTTATATTGTTCCTATGACATTAACCATTACAATGGAGACAATAAGATTTATGAATTCAGATAGTATATCCTGATGTTCACGTTTTTCTACAAATTATTTTGAGGGCAGGAGGGCTTGAAGTAAACTTGGGGAATAGGTTTAATCTTTGGGCTTTTCCCCCTCCTTTTTTCTCTCGACATCTAATACATATAGGCATTGGACTATATGCAACAATATATTAATATAGTTGTAAGATTATTGTATTAATGTAACCTTTGGTATTGTGTAAAGAATACTTTATTAAATGGTTTCTTGAATTGTTTTTTTTACAAATTTATCAAGTATGATAGGACTTTTAAAAGGGTAAATCACCATAAAAAATTATCAACTGCACTGTCATACCACTGTGGTAATATGGTACTATAAAAAACTTCAGAGGACCAAACCAAATACGTTAAGATTGTAGAGATGAAAATGCTCTCACAAACCCAAATCAGTCTATGTATAATACAAATTAGGATATTGAAGGCTTCCCCCCCGACCAAGGACACTTAAATTTAAGTGGAATTGGAGTAGGAATCTAATCTGTTTTACGTATATTGCTCTAGATGTGACAACAACAGAAAGAAAACATTCTCTTGTTTTAAAGATGATTCTCCCTGCCTTTGCGGTGTTCATCAGTGCTGCTTAGTCTTTTTCATCTGAGCCAAGATTTAGCATCCAATCATACATTCAGTGAGAAATTTAACTAAACTGATATGTTTCAAACCAATATAAAATGACAAGTCAAAGCATAAAAAATTGAAACAGTTGAAACTACTTTTGGTGAATTATTACCAAGTTTTTTCCCTCAGTACTCAGTTGCTATGTCTGTATTTTATGCCTCTGTAGTAGGTAAGTGGTAAAATGTGGGAAGGGTCTAAAACACATCTTTAGAAGAATAACTTAAAATTGAACAAATTCTATTTGTTAATTTACAAATAAAGAAATTCTGTTTGTTTACCTGTACATCACAGAAAGACCACTGTTACTTAATTCTAGCAGAATAGTGAGTACTTGCACGAAGATATGTTTTCACCAGTTTTTACCTTTGATTCCTGAATTGTTATTAATTCTAGCCGAATAGTGTGAGTACTTGCACGATGTGTTTTCACCAGTTTTTACCTTTGATTCCTGAATTGTTTAAACATTTTTGCTCAATTTTTAGTTTATGAATACCTTTATATGCCTTTTTCTGATCCTGGGTTCTCTAAGATTAATTGTAGAAAGTGGAGAGCTTTGGTTTCTTCTTTGTAGGGTTTAGAGTTACTATAGGATCAGATACATGGTATTACTTCTGTGGATATATTGCATAGAGAGTATATTGAATAGATGTAGTTTGTGGATCTGAAAAAAACCATTTTGTATATGCATAAGGGAAGGGAATATGTTATCTCATTTCCTTGATATTCTGATATTACTTCATATTTTTAGGTTTTCAAATGGAATCTCTCATAAATCAGTTTGATCATTTGAATTGGTAACTTTTTAATGTGAAAAGTAATTAAGTTAATGGTTTGTCTGTCTTTCAGTAGGCACCAGTTTAGAATCAGGGCAGTAAGGTTATATACCAGGCTAGTAATAGGCATTCCACATCATTTATCTCATTTAATCCTCACAACAACCTCATTTTACGGGGGAGAAAAATGTAGCCTCCGGTTAAAAACCTGATTACTTAGTAGTGGAAGAACAAACAAACTTCAAACCCAGTGTGCTTTCCAAGCATCAGTTCATAAGTTAGGAAACATTGTGGAACATCTTGTAGCTTAAGGTGGAAAACTTTAGCTAGTATAAATGTCAGTGATAACTCATTTCATGTGAATGTTTCTGATAGTTGGGCATATCTTTTCATTACAGGAGAGTAAGTGTTAGAGTAAGCATTGAACTACAATCAGTTTCTAATCCAGTTCATAGAAAGGTCAGTATTTATTTCTTTTGAAATACATTTTTTCACTTTTTTGAAATATTTCTGTACATTATAATTATTTTTTTTCTTTAAAAATGTAAAATCTTTTGTTACACCAATCTTGCTCTTTAATTTTGGGCCGTTTTGTAACTTGGAAATCTGGGGTGGTAGAATTTACTGAGACAACAACTGAGAGATTATCATGCCATATGTTTCTAAAGCATACAAGAAAAATTAGAGATTGGGAGAACAGTCTCCTTAGGTTTGCGCAATGTACTTTTACAAGTTACAAGAACATATATTACTACCCTATAGAATTGTCATTTCTTCATGTAAATGTGAGAACAGAATGAATTGAAACACTGCAGGGAGATACTCTTGAATCTTCTACTTTGCTTTTTGAAGAGAGGCATTTAAAATACCAGTCCTATATGATGTTCAAAGTAAGAGTCATTAGAGATATAGACATAGAATAGAGGCCTAAGAAATACAGCATCTGTTTTCTCTGTGTGATAGCTTTCCCTAAACATATTCAAGACCTGGTAGTATTAGCAGCAGCTTCAGTTTTTTATAGCATCTTGGAGTGGATTTCAAGATGTACTTGAATGGAAGCTGCTTTGAGAACAAGGTATTGTGAGGCAGAGCTACTATCTAGATTGCTAATTTTCCAGGAAGACATTATGTATTATACTTCTTATGTGCTATTCCCTATGCCTGCTGTACCTTTACATTTTCTAGCTCGACTTATAAGTGGTTTAGATTTTTTTAGGACCCCAACAGTTCTTAAGTAGCCACAAGTAAATTTTATTTCAAATTAGAAGCTTATTCTTAACCTGAATGCTTATTTCTTTGTTAGTCCTTTGTCATCTTGTTTTACTTATGCCTGTTTTACTTATACCATTACATCTGTGTACTTTTCTGTCAGCTTTAGCTACTGTGATTATCTGTCACAATATAAATTTTACTATCTGGAAAGTGGTCTTTATGAAACGTATTCACTTCACTTTGAAACTGAAAACAGATGGGGTTTCACATAGTGGCCACCTGGAGTAGGAGAGAATAGGCCCTTAAGAAGAAGTCCTGTCAGCATGTCACCTGATACCCCTGTCCTCTTCATCAGAGACAAATGCTCCTTTCTTTTCTAGAGTGGATGATTGTTTGTCTTTTGTACTGATGTATTTGCCACTTCTGAAATACCAAAGTTTTAACTTGAGGGAAACTGAAAATACCATTGAATTTGATACGGTCATTGGTAAAGAATATTTTTGTCGTGGGATCACAGTGCAGCAAGGGCTGGGTCTGAATTTTCCTAAGCCTCTGATAGGATCATACTCCTCAACTTTTAACTCCTAGCATTTAATTAACTTTTATAGACCCCCATGTAGCTCTCTAGCTCTCCCTGTTTTAAGATCCTAAGTCTCTGAAGACTAACAAAAATTCAGCAGCACCAAAAAGAGAAGCCATCTACAGTATAATGGCGATACATTAATACATTGGATGATTTCACTTCCAAGAAGCAAGAAATTAAAAGCCAGATCTATTAAAAAACATTAAAAAGTAACAATTTTTCTTTCAGGATTTAGTTATTCGTCTGACTGATGATACTGACCCATTTTTTCTGTATAACCTTGTTATATCTGAGGAAGATTTTCAGAGGTAACTAAAGTTATTTTTCTGTCTTATATTTAATTTAGAAATAACTAAGTTTTTAAGTTTTATGAATGTATTGGTACTGTTCTCTATGAAACACATACCTATTAAGAATATTTAAGTATTTTGGGAACACTTGACCATTCATACTATTATTATTTTAGGATGTTTTTGAAAATAGATGCTTCATAGATTATGAACAGCTCAGAAATTTGGAGATTTAGCTAAATTTATTAATGTCTTCCCTCCCATTGAATAAATTCTATAAAAATCAAAGTTCTCTAACTTATTTTTTGATTGAAATGGGTATTCAAGAAATTAAAAAAGAATCTTTCAGGGTGTTAATTATAATTAAACATAGCAATTAAATTTTTTAAAAATCTCCTTTTCTTTTTTCTGTGTAGTTTAAAATTCCAACAAGGTCTTCTGGTGGACTTCTTAGCTTTCCCACAAAAATTTGTAGATCTCCTTCAGCAGTGTACTCAAGAACATGTCAAAGAAATTCCAAGGTAAGTCTTATGAGAGCACTGCATCATTAAACTTCTCTCAACTTTTTAAAGACAAGTTGATGGCAAAATATTTTCTATGTGTTATTAGTATCACTGTCTATTTTTAGGACTCCATTAAATCTCAGATATTAAGAAATCATGATTAAAATCAGAAATATTTACCCCTGAATTTTCATGTCTTGACAAAGCCATTAAAGTTACCTGAAATATTTAACAGCCATTAAGAATATGTTTTTATAATGAACTTGGAAAAAACAAAGAGTAATTTTGTGTATGTGTATTCATATTCATGTGTTGCTAATGCCTGATCCTTTCGTTGTCAAGTTCAACCTTTTATCCATTGGTTTCATCAATTGATAATTGTTCGAATCAGTTATTTCATTAGGAACTGCAAAATTGTGCTTTTCTAATTCTATCATTCTGTATTTATCAGGTATAATTTTTCTATAAAAACTATAAAAAACTTAGAGCAATTTGATTACTCTGAAAATTCATGTATGAAAGGATAAATGCTTAATTCTTACTTCTAAATTGTCAACTTTCAGAATAAGGAGTTGTTACTCTAGTTACTTTCATGGTTTCAGTGGGTTTTTGATTTGTTCTTGTTTTTAGTTTCTCCTGGTCTGTTGACTCATTGTGAACCCATGGACATTTATATATTCACTGTGTTTCAATCAATCCTTTTTTTTTCTTGCCCAGTTTATCCGTTTTATTATTTACATCAACTTACTCAATATTGCTATTGCGAATCCTTTCATATTGGTCCCTATGATTCCAATATGCCCCCTTTCCTGATCCTTCCAATCATTGATCCAGTGGAGCTCATGATTCAATGGGAGCATTTTGCTGTCTCATAAATGTGTTATAATACACTCTTTTTTTTAAAGGTTTTTGTTACAGTTAGTTTCTCCAGCAACTATTTTGGATAACTCACCTGCCTTTTTAAATGTGGTAGAGACAAATCCTTTCAAGCATCTTACGCATCTCTCACTAAAACTTTTACCTGGGAATGATGTGGAAATAAAGAAGTTTCTAGCAAGCTGTTTGAAATGTAGCAAGGTAAGGTTTAAGTTTAAGTAATTCTTTTAAAATAAGGAACAAAGATGCCTAATAAGTCACCAGAAAGCTATGCTGCTATGAGTTTTTGTTTTCTGAGTAATGGTTTTTTAAAGACATCTAGTAAATTCGTATAATGTGTAATAAGAACTCTTGATGTCATGGTTTCATCAGCTGGTAGTTACCTATGGAAATATCTACCCTATTTAGCCTATCTTAAATGAGAAAAAATCTGAAAAAGTGTCTTGAAAATTAGAAAGTAGTCTATAACTGTGTAAGGTATTTGGCACAAAGAAATAACATTGGGATGCCTCCTAAGAGTTTTCAGAAAGTCTTTTTAGTTATATGCTATAGATGAGTGCATCTCAAAATTTAATGGTACACAAATCTTCTAGGGATCTTACTCAGATTCTGACTCAGGTACAAGGTGGAACCTGAGATTCTTCATTTCTGACAGACTCCAGGTGCTGCTGATGCTCTACGTTGCTGCACTTTGAGCAGCACAGCTACAGATGATTAAATTAAATTATAACCTGCATAATCTTATTTTGTAAATAGGAAGAAAAAATATCATTGACGCAATCACTAGATGATGTTACTAGGCAACTAAATTTCACACAAAAGGTAATTCACATTTCATTTTGTCTTCTTAAGTCATCCAAACATTGGCTCTGGATTGCTTTTTGAATCAAATGAATGCTTTTGTTATTCAAAGCATGATATCATGGAATTCCCTCTCCTTTTTGCCACCCTTCCACTACCAGTTAGTTATCTTAATCTGATGCTTTCTCTCTTTAATATTTTATTCCTTCCAAACATTTCTGTTATCCCCAATATTTGACACATTCAAGTCTTCATTAAATAAGATAATGTATAGTATCTGTCATATGTTACTTCTCTGCTCCTTTTATTTACCTCATGTCTCTTATCTAAAATGGCTTTTCATTTCCTGTCTTCTAAACCTTTCCCTTCTTTTCTGTTATGTTTAGAATTAATTTCTCTAATAGACTTATCATTTCAGTCATAACTGCTACCTTTTTGCCCCTAGTCCTTGAAATTGAGGACCCAGAGGAGCAGATAAGCTGCATGGCTTTAGGCAGAAAATTGTCCTGCACAACATGGCTCATCTTGGGAACCTATGTTACTAGGTTTTTTATGTATAGGTGAACTATTCCTTATGACTGACCTGCTTTACCTGGGTTGCTTTATTTTTTAATGCCAGTGGGGAGGACTAGGTGGGGAAGAACCAGATTTAATGAAAAGATTAAAGATAGCCTTGACCTGTAGGCCATATTAGCTCTAGAATTGCCTTTATTCTAATATTGATTTCTTCAAATTAAAAAAAATCTATGTAGGAAATGGCTTTGAGTATGTCTTGAATAGCTGTGAGTTCATTTTCTTTAATATTGTTTGTAAATATTGCCATGTTCTAATCTAATAACATATTCAGGAACCCGTCTTAATATTTTGCTCTGAACTCTAATACAGACATTATCAGAGAAAATCCAAGAATTAGATAAATTACAGAATGAATGGTCATCACACACAGCAGCATTGTCAAATAAGCATTCTCAGGAACTGACAAATGTGAAGGAAAAAGCTTTGCAGGTATGAACATTAAAAGAAACTGGAAAAATATCTTGTTATTGCCTTTAGTCATTTCATTAATTATAAAAGTAATATATACTTTATAATTTTCAAACATTACAGAAGTATGTAGAAGTTAAAGGTCTTTTATTAGAAGTTTTACTATCCAGAGATAATTTATAAGCATTTCAATGTATTTCCAGACTTTTCTCTATATGTTATAAATATTTGTTGATATTTATAAATTCAGAAATATGTAACTTGTATATAATTGTTGATATATATGTACACACATAGTGGGTTCTTGTTCTGTTCATTGCTAAGTGAGGTCCTACTGGGTATACTGATTGTGACTTATTTCATCTAACATGGCAGCATAGATACCATTATTAGTTCAGATATTCCTTTCTAGTGGCTGCATAATATTCATTATTTGGACATAACATAAATTCTTTAACTACTTACCCAACGAGTGGACATTTAAATGCTTCAAAATTTTGGTTATTGTTAGTAATACTGCAGTGATTGTTCTTTGTTCCTAGAAGTGATACTGCAATATACACACATAAAATATTAATGGATATTGCAAGTTTGCCACCCAAAAAGGTTGTACCAAATAGAATCCCAAAGATAGTTTGCGGTAGTACTTATTTTCCCATGCTCTTGATACTATTATTACTATTCTTAATATTTGCCACTGAAGAGGTGTTAAGAGTAGTATTAGTTGTAATTTATATTTCTTAGACTTTTAGTGAAGATAAGCATCTTTTAATATGACTCAGACATTTTTATCCCATGGATTACTTTTTAATGTATTTTGCTTATGTTTTTGTGTGACTATCATTTTCTACTGCTTTGTAGTGTGGATTTTTCACCTTTTATATCATAGCTTCTTCATTAAATTTTGTTTTTGTTTTTATACACTTTACTAGATGTTCACTTTTAAGACTACATCTTGCCCATATTTTTACATGTAACTTTCACCCAAATTAAGATTCAGAGAGTTGTACCACCCTTCTAGGTTCCCTTGTGTGCCTTTCCAATCCATTAGCATCTTCCCACAGGTTATCGCTCTTCTGACTTCCATCGTTGGTTAGTTCTATCTGTTCTCCAATTTCGTATAAATGGAATTATATAGTATATACTCATTTGCGTGTGGCTTCCTTCACTCAGCATAGTATCTCTGAGATTCAGTTATGTTCTTGTGTGTTTCTTTTTATCATCGTGTCATATTTTGTTATACGAATATGCCATAATTTATCTGTTTTCCTGTTGGTAGACATTTGCATTGTTTCTGATATTTTGCTATTATTCATTAAACTGCTGTGAACATTCTTGTACATGCTTTTTTGTGAACATAGGCACTCATTTTCCTTGGACATATATTTAGAATTGGAATGGCTAGGTTCTAGTGTAGGCATATGTTTAGCTTTAGTAGAAACTGCTAAGCTACCAAAGGGAATATATCAATTTATACTGCCATTCTGCGGTGTATAGTACCATGTAGTTATGGACTCTTTTTCATATGCATATTGACAACTTAAAACNGCTTTTACCCCATATGGGCAGACATGAATAATAGTGACAGAGACCTTATGGCTTGCAAAGCCTAAAATATTTACTATCTGGCCCTTTAGAGAGAAAGTTTGCTGACCCCTGTCATATAGGAAAAACCATCCAGACTTTAGTTAAGTAAGTATTCAAAGGCCAGTTCAACTGCACAAATGTTTATGAATGCCTACTATGTACCAGGAACTGTCCTAGGTGCTGACAATATAAAGTGCCCTCCTCTTTACTCTTCACTCTCCGCCAAAAAACAAAAACAGTTTTCATCTGGGCTTCAAGGAACTCATACATTAATAGTGGAAACAAAAAGATCTTGGAGAGGCAGCCCAGCACAGGTTAGGAGTTCAGGCTCTGGAGCCAGATTGGGTGTAAATCCCATTCTGCCACTTACTATTTGATTTTGTACATTTTTTTTTAAACTTCTCCATGCCTTATTTTTAAGTTGATAATAAAAGTAACCTGCTTCATAGATTTTTGTGAGCATGAAATGAATTAATACATATAAAGTGCTTAGAACAGTGCTTGGAGTATCAAATAATTAACTAGCTATTAAAGTGTGATTAATGCATGAAATGACATAAATGTGCTAAAGTCACAGAGAGGAAGGAACTTCATTTGAAAAGTGGAAATGCTCAGAGAAGTCTGGGGGAAAGTGATGCAAAATTTTGAAGCCTGTGGTTTGACGCCAACCTTTTTTTCATTTTTGTTTGCTAAGCTCCTCTCCCCAGTATACTAGTCACATAAGACTATTTGTCCTCTGAATATGCCTGATATTCTCTCAGTACTATACCTTTAGTGCTGCTCTTCCCTCTGTCTCAAATGCTTTTTCTTTCATAACCTTCAAAGTCTGTCTTAAATCCTTTCACTATAAGGACCTTATCAAAGTTGCCCATGTTGAAATTAATGCTCTTACTCCTTTATTAGCTAGCATGGTTTAGGTGAAAGATCTGAGTTGTAATATAGGCTCTGTAATGTAACCTTAACAAATTTGCAACTCTGTGCCTCAAGTTCTTCCTTTGTAATACAGAGATAATATTTACTTAAGATTATTGTTGTTAATGTAAGATGATATATGAAAAGTGCCTGGTAGGTACTAGGTAAGTGTTAGTAACACTTCCTTCCCTTCTCTTAAAGCCCTAAAATAGAATCAGAAGCAAATCTGGAGTAAGTCATTTAATCTGATCTCAATTTGAGGACATGGACCATGTTTATTTCTGTTTGTATCCCTAGCACCCAGCACAGTACCTGGTGTAGAGTAGCTTTTATTTGAACTGAGAGTTTAAAGTCACAGCTACTAGGTGGCAGAGGCGGGCTAGAATCCAGTTCTGCTAATGCCAAATTTAACTGACTAGGAGGATGTTATGTGTTCAGACATTATTCAGAGTGTAACATTTATTTTGAGAAACCACATTTTAATTGTTTTTTAAAATTTGTTTTATATTGTTCCTATGACATTAACCATTACAATGGAGACAATAAGATTTATGAATTCAGATAGTATATCCTGATGTTCACGTTTTTCTACAAATTATTTTGAGGGCAGGAGGGCTTGAAGTAAACTTGGGGAATAGGTTTAATCTTTGGGCTTTTCCCCCTCCTTTTTTCTCTCGACATCTAATACATATAGGCATTGGACTATATGCAACAATATATTAATATAGTTGTAAGATTATTGTATTAATGTAACCTTTGGTATTGTGTAAAGAATACTTTATTAAATGGTTTCTTGAATTGTTTTTTTTACAAATTTATCAAGTATGATAGGACTTTTAAAAGGGTAAATCACCATAAAAAATTATCAACTGCACTGTCATACCACTGTGGTAATATGGTACTATAAAAAACTTCAGAGGACCAAACCAAATACGTTAAGATTGTAGAGATGAAAATGCTCTCACAAACCCAAATCAGTCTATGTATAATACAAATTAGGATATTGAAGGCTTCCCCCCCGACCAAGGACACTTAAATTTAAGTGGAATTGGAGTAGGAATCTAATCTGTTTTACGTATATTGCTCTAGATGTGACAACAACAGAAAGAAAACATTCTCTTGTTTTAAAGATGATTCTCCCTGCCTTTGCGGTGTTCATCAGTGCTGCTTAGTCTTTTTCATCTGAGCCAAGATTTAGCATCCAATCATACATTCAGTGAGAAATTTAACTAAACTGATATGTTTCAAACCAATATAAAATGACAAGTCAAAGCATAAAAAATTGAAACAGTTGAAACTACTTTTGGTGAATTATTACCAAGTTTTTTCCCTCAGTACTCAGTTGCTATGTCTGTATTTTATGCCTCTGTAGTAGGTAAGTGGTAAAATGTGGGAAGGGTCTAAAACACATCTTTAGAAGAATAACTTAAAATTGAACAAATTCTATTTGTTAATTTACAAATAAAGAAATTCTGTTTGTTTACCTGTACATCACAGAAAGACCACTGTTACTTAATTCTAGCAGAATAGTGAGTACTTGCACGAAGATATGTTTTCACCAGTTTTTACCTTTGATTCCTGAATTGTTATTAATTCTAGCCGAATAGTGTGAGTACTTGCACGATGTGTTTTCACCAGTTTTTACCTTTGATTCCTGAATTGTTTAAACATTTTTGCTCAATTTTTAGTTTATGAATACCTTTATATGCCTTTTTCTGATCCTGGGTTCTCTAAGATTAATTGTAGAAAGTGGAGAGCTTTGGTTTCTTCTTTGTAGGGTTTAGAGTTACTATAGGATCAGATACATGGTATTACTTCTGTGGATATATTGCATAGAGAGTATATTGAATAGATGTAGTTTGTGGATCTGAAAAAAACCATTTTGTATATGCATAAGGGAAGGGAATATGTTATCTCATTTCCTTGATATTCTGATATTACTTCATATTTTTAGGTTTTCAAATGGAATCTCTCATAAATCAGTTTGATCATTTGAATTGGTAACTTTTTAATGTGAAAAGTAATTAAGTTAATGGTTTGTCTGTCTTTCAGTAGGCACCAGTTTAGAATCAGGGCAGTAAGGTTATATACCAGGCTAGTAATAGGCATTCCACATCATTTATCTCATTTAATCCTCACAACAACCTCATTTTACGGGGGAGAAAAATGTAGCCTCCGGTTAAAAACCTGATTACTTAGTAGTGGAAGAACAAACAAACTTCAAACCCAGTGTGCTTTCCAAGCATCAGTTCATAAGTTAGGAAACATTGTGGAACATCTTGTAGCTTAAGGTGGAAAACTTTAGCTAGTATAAATGTCAGTGATAACTCATTTCATGTGAATGTTTCTGATAGTTGGGCATATCTTTTCATTACAGGAGAGTAAGTGTTAGAGTAAGCATTGAACTACAATCAGTTTCTAATCCAGTTCATAGAAAGGTCAGTATTTATTTCTTTTGAAATACATTTTTTCACTTTTTTGAAATATTTCTGTACATTATAATTATTTTTTTTCTTTAAAAA